TGTCCTGACCATAAAAGCCCGACTCCTGCCCCTCCCTCGCCCGGATTCCTGGAACCGCCTAGCGGCGCCCTCGGCCGCCATCAGCTCTCGCCCGCCTCCCCCTTCCGGCCAGCGGGACGCCGGACTCGCCCACGGGCCCACGCGCACGAGCCACAGCCCCAGCGAGGAGACTCACCGACGCTGCCCATATGGCGCCCATGGAGCCGAAAGCGCGCGTCGTCTGCCTGAGGCTCCTCTGGCCTCCCAGCAGCAGGCCAGAGAGCTGGGGAGCGGCCAGCCCGGGCAGCGGCCCCGGCAGTGCTGGCGGCGAGGCCGGACAGCCTGCTCCCTCACGGCCCTGTGGGCGCCTCCCGCCATGCTCGCTGGCCCCTGCAGCGCCAGCCCGTCCGGCTCCACAGGGCCCCTTCCTTGGGCCCCCTGGCTCCGGCCTGGCATCCCCTCCCAGATAAGCTGCCGCACCCAAGTCTCCAGACCTCAGACAACAAGGATCTGCGAGGTGGGGGCATCAGAGGGGGAAGCTCGAGCTCGGGGCAGGAGGCATCCTGGCCGGAGGCGCCCTGAGGGCGGCCCCTGCTCGGGTGTTTAACCCAGATACCCAAGAGGTCATTTCTTAAAAATAAACAAAAAACCATTTATTTGTGCACACAGAACTTGGGTGCAGGCCGAGGTGGGGGGTGAGAGGACCCGCAGAGAGCGGGGAGCAGAGCAGGCCGATCCATTAAGTCCACTGCTGAGGGAGCAGCGGGGGACAGCAGAGGTCTGCCGCCCTGGTCCCTCCCTGCCTGCTGTGGCCGCCAGTAGCCTCACTGGGCTGCGCTTTCACCCTGAGCCACCAGGGAGGGCCCTGAAGAGGTCATGTCAGCGGGAAGGAATCCAGAGAACAGTGACCAGGACGGACATCTGACCCTGAGCCCCTCCTGAGGGCCGGTCCCTGGGTCCCTGAGTGCGGAGCTTCGGGCCTCACCACGGCGAGTCCAGCCGCCTCTGCTGCGCTGCCCTGCCCAGCCGCCTAGTGGGCACAGAGCCCCGGCGGCACCCCCAAGCCCGCCCAAGCCCGAGCTGCGGGCTGCGCTAGTCCCTGTGCCCTGGAGCTGGGCGACCCCCAAGCCTACGGCAGGCGCTGGGCTGGGGGCCTGGGGTGGCGAGGGTGGGCCCTGAGGGGAGTCAGTGCGCCCCGGAGAGCTGCTTCCTCTTCCCTCTGGCCTGTGAGGACACAGCCAGAGGCAGGACCCAGGGTCCCCCCTCC